TAGTGTTAACAAATTGCAACGTAACAGCCTGATCGGAAGAGGAAGACCCGCTGTACCAGGAGCCCGCCAAGGATTTCACCACGCAGAGAAGATGGAGTTAACAGAAGTTAGAAAACCTGACTTGGAGAACATATGTGGACCTAGACTGAAACTACACCAGGATTTTTGGTATTTAACAGGGGTTGGAGAAGGCTGCTTTGCATGTTCTTCTGAAAAATAGAACTTAAGGAGAGGTTGGCAGGGAACATGTTAGTTTTTGGGAATGTACATTCTCTAATAATTTGAGGAGTGCTCTGGCACCTTCTGGTCTTCCAGAGAGTAAGGGAAGAAAAGAATTCAGACATTACAGAAACATTTTTGACTGAGCAAGCAGTTTATAAATATTCACAGAACATATTTAATTCAAAGTGTTGAATTTGTATTCAAAAAAATAAATGTAGAGGAGATAAGGTTAAGATGCTGGAGGAGAAATTTGACTTTCTAAATGTAGCTGGTAAAAGCTTTGGGTAAATACAAGCACTTTCATGTTTTTCCTGTTGCCTTGCCAGGCAGGTTTGAAAATTTTTCTGCTCTGTCCCTAAAGCAGAATAGAGGCTTGCTTTAATAAAGCAGCACCAGTATTGCTGCGTTACATATTGCTCAGACGCAAAGGAAGAATCCTTCCCTCTGCCAGAGGAAGATACCCTGCTTGCATCTTGAGTTCCCTAGTGCTACTAAAGTAGAAATAGTGATATTGATGTGAGGCTGCTGTGCTCCCCTCCAGCTTCCCCACTCCTGCTGCCTGGAAGTTCCTGGTCTCCTCCCTGTGTCTGCCCTCTCCTTTGGGTATTTGCTGACATGTTGTTTAGGTGGCAACGCCTGGGAGTGCTGGGCGTGCATCCTGGGTCTGTCCTGGTTGGATCTCTGCATGCAGAGTGAAAAAATAACCCTCCCCACAAAATCTGAACTGACAAATAGAGCGGAAGGTGTGATACTGGTTGGGGAACTGAGTGAAGTTTGACTTCTAAACAAACAAAAACCCCCAAACCCGCCCCCGCCCCCCCCCCCAAACCACGGAACAACTAGTTTTCCCTTATACCGTAGGAGGACAATTGCAAACTTTGAAAGAACTATGAAAAATTATTAGCAGCACCAGGTGCATTTATGCATTAAGAAATGTTCCTTTAAAAATATAGAACGTTCCTCTAAAAATACGTGTATAGTTCTGTAATTGGTCATAAGACTAAAAAATGATAGTTACTCTGAGTCTAGGTAGTGATGGAGCCTTTCTTTCATCTGAGCTACAGTTTTACATCAAGATGAAAAAGGTTGGCACAGTGTGTACACTCGTGTTATCACGGTTGCTCTCGGACTCTGGGGATGCTCACAGTTTGCACTAGCTGTATGATTGTACCCTTCTTTTAGTGCTTACTTGCTATTTAATTCTGTCAGCTTGATTTAGGTAACTTTCAAAAATCTGAGTTTTCATCAGATTCATTCAGGTTTGCTATTAAATTTCATCTGAGACAACAAAGCCTTTACAGGCAGGCATGACGTTTTGGCAAGGCCCCAATAGGATACTTAGCTGGTGCCAAATCTTTTATTTTTCTCAGCTATCAATGAAGCTGTTGTGGTAATGTGGGTTTTGTGAGCTGTGAGAATTTATGCGCACAAAGGGACCTGCTCTTTGCAGGGAACACTGGGAGCCCTGAGTCCAGGAGGAAGGGTAATTAAAGTTAATGAACCACGGTAACCTTTCCATGGTGATGACCACTATCCTGATGGTAGGTAAGGGTCAGGGACTATTCCCATTTTATAATCGCGATTCTAACTCTACTCTTTAATTGGTGTTGGATTAAAAATTGGCCATTACCTCCATAATAGAACTGGTTTGTGGATTTTAAAGGAGTTTTTACAAAGCTCTGCAAGTCTTCAGTGGCTTGTTCTTCTTGGACTTGGCTTTGTGTTGTGTTTTAATGCAGTCTAAAAATGAAATATTTTTAGCATTTGAGACCAGATAGTGATGTTTCTATAATGGGAGCAGCTTAGTTATCTCTCCATGTCAGAACAGAGACTTCTTCCTTAAATGCTTCCCATGTTCAGAGGCTTCACCTAGTTTTATCAGCATATCTGAGAAGCCTTTGAACTTGCTGTGCATGGAGTGATTGTGGGTTTAAGCTAACAGGCTCTAAAGATGGGCCTGAAACACTGACTTAAATCTGTTAACTCTTCTACTTACCTGCTTTTGCAGCATCAGGTAAGTTACTTTATGCAAGGCGTTTCCCTTGGAGGATTTCGTCACTGAAGTAGATTTCCTTTGTAAGGGATGGACTAAATGGAAGAGCTTTGTTCCTGCTATCTCGGAAGTCTTTCTATAGATCTTGCACCAAGCTGAGATGTCAGTGATAGACTAAAATGCACAGTATCCGTATTCAAAATGTTAAATATTGTTCATTTGTCTGTCTTGAATTTTAATTGGAAGGCTGTGGATTTGATCGCCTCTTATGTAAATGTAGAAATAGAAAATGACTCCTTGAGAATTGGCTGTCTGTCAATCCTAAAAACTTCCATTACTAAACCAAACCACATTTCTTTGTCTTGGTGACTGGTTCCATGCAAAGAGGAGCAGTGCTTTAAGTAACAGTCGGTTTCAATTTCTCTTCTGAGAGTCTGTCTGTTTGTCATAGGTGTTTTTCTAGGTATTAGCCTGTTTAAAGGCATTCTCTTCCTTTAAAATAAAATTAACATGTTCTTCCTTTTTTTAATAGAAACTGTTTATTTGTTTGGTGGCTGGGATGGAACTCAGGATCTGGCTGACTTCTGGGCATACAGCGTGAAGGAAAACCAGTGGACCTGTATATCCAGGGATACTGAGAAAGAGGCAAGTTCTGCAAATGTTCGTATTGTTAATAATGTATGAACTGTTGCACAGAAAAATGCCATGCTTCTGAAGCACCTGTACTGATGTATAGAGTGCAGTGAGAGCCACAAAATTCAGACCTTGAAGTTCTGAAGACTTTTGAAATGCTTACATTGGGAAAATGTGAGATGAATGTGAATTTGAAGTGTTAAGATTACTGGAGGGGAAAGGTTTATTTGTCAAGAGCAGACTGATCAGCCAAAAATTAGTTCAGTGAGTAGAACATGAGTTTAAATAATTTGATAGGACTGAACAACCAGACTGACTACTAAAAAATTCAGACCTGATGCTGGTGTTGAGCTTCAGAAGCAGAATGTTTATTTTTTTTAGCTTCTGTCAAAAAATGTGAGTAGAAATGGACAACTAACAGACAGAAGTCTAGAGGGCAGGGGTAACTGCCAGAGGCCACGCAATCCCAGGAGCTTTCATGGTATTCATTTAAGCCATTTTCCTTGGCTTGTTTTGCTCGGTATTTGACATATGAAACCTCTGGAAATGAATGTAGCTTGGGTTATAGGAGGTAACAAAAAAAAGTCCAAGACCTTTGGTTTGTGTAATTCATTTTACTGTATACTGTGAAATGTTGAAGTTCCATGTAGTTATTGTGTTTTGAGTTTGTTACTTGTTTGTCAGAGCATGACTTAAGGAAATTCATGCAGCCTCTTCTTGAAGGTATGAAAAGTTTGAGATTCTACCACTTGTTGATAAATTTAGGAGTTGATTCTCCCAACTACTTGAGAAAAGTATAAAAATGTCTTATTTGTATTTTTCCAGTTTCTTGTCATAGTTTATTTTGTGAGCTTCCATACCAGATTAAATAACACTTTATTTAATATTGTCATTTTTTTCTGGCAAAGGTGTTTAGAGGTTGTAATCAAGTAGGACAAATAGCCTGAGATGAAAAAAAAAAGCCTTGCAGTAAAGCACTTCTTGTAGCCTTCAAATCTCTGTGCATGTCATGCACTTACTGTTTCTAACATCCTTTACAAAATGGGCAATAACAGAACTGAACATGATATTCTGGTTTCTATTATAATAGAGCTGTATAAAGGTAAAATTGTCCATACATTTTATATCCTTGTAGGCCCTTTTTTTGATTTTTTCCCCCTCACTCTTAGTCCTTTCATCACTGCTCATGGCTACTCGTATGTTTACTGATAATGATACCGAAGCTGGATTTAGTCTTCCAGGGTTCAGTCCTGTAGGCTGGGCTTGTGTTTGTCTTAAACCATGGGTTTTACTATTTTTTTTCCTCACTGTTTACTCAACAGGTAACCTCCTTAAGATAAGGAGGGGGGTGTGTGACATAATACCAAGGGGAAATTGGGACTCCTCTCTTACTGACTGTATGGTAAAGGTAAACATCTAGATTTTGTCTCCCTTTATAAGGAGGTTGGGAAAGTGAAGAACAGCGATAGAAAAGAAGGCACAACAATTTTAATTGTCTCTTCTTTCACTTTTCTTCTTGCTTTGTAGCTGCTTAGTGTGTACATTTGTCTAGCTCAGGATGCAGTGCAATAGGGCCTTCCTGTCAAAAAGGGGTTACCATGTTTTCTTCCTGCGCAAACCAGTGTCGGTAGTTCTGCTGTTTAAGGCATTAATTTCCTTTCTTGCTGGGATCTTGCCTCATCCGGTTAAGCTTCTGTAGAGCTTGGGAGGCCTGGCTGGGATGCAAGGCATCAGCAGTGCCAGGAGCAGCGTATGTTTTCTCTTCAAGTTCCTCATGCCTGACTCCAGGAGGGTAACGCTGGGATGGGAGAAGGGAAGGGTACGCAAAGGATGGCTGTGTAGGAGAGATGGTAGAAGAGATGAGTTGGTACAGTAAAGTAAATAAATAAGGGAATTTTGGAGCAAAAACAATACAGGGTGCAATGGAAGGTCAGGAAATTCAAATGGAAGATGGGAAGGGTCTTGGGCTGAGAGGAAGCAAGATGGGGGAATTTACCAAAAAAAAAAAAAAAAAAACCAAAAAACAAAACGAGAGAAAGACTTGAATGTATGGGGAATTTTGAATAAGAGATGTACTTGATAGAGAAAAGTGCGAAGAAATGTGTGTGGCTTTAGAAATTGAGTTCTAGAAGGACTCTCTGCGTGGATATAGTCTTTGGTGGAGTTCAGAAGAAGGCCTGCCGAGGCATAGTCCAGGGTTTTGGTGACTTACTGAGGTGCAGTGAACTGGCGGCTGCTGCACTTGCAAACCAGCAATGTGGTTTTTCTTTTTTTTTTTTTTTTTCTAAAGAGATCTGGATAAAACCTGATTTAGAAATGAAAAGGTCAATCTCAAATGTTGAGAAGTAAATTAAAAAACAAAGACTCCAGATGTTTCTCTAATAGGGACATCAACTGTTCACAAACAATTTGCTAAAAGGAAATGTCTGTTGACGTGGAATTTAAAAGAATACTCAGAGTAGATTCCAGTAGAACTTAGTCTTGTTTTTGCGTTGTATTGTGCTTGTTCTGCGTCTAGCTCTTTTGTTCTAATTAATCAGTGACAGCGGTTAAATTAGCCACTCAATAATTAAGCTTGGACAAGAGCAGAATATGGTAAAAGTTGCATCTTATCCGGTGTTATGGTAGGGGTAACACACAGTAATGCTTTTGGGATACAGGTACTGGTAGCTTCTGTTGCAATGCATTATGAAAAGGTTGTGTGACCTTTTTAGTAAACTCTGTTGCTGCTGGTTTCCAGAACTTGCTGGTGAGCTGGAGAAATGTCTCTTTGTCACCTGAAGTTGCATTTGTGATTTTTAACAGTTACACTACCAACGCTAACTTTTCATAGCCCCTTTTACATCAGGAAAAATGCTCACAGCACTGCTGGAGTAGCTGGTCACTTACAGTCTTAGAAAGGGCGTCAAGAGGACCTGCTTGCAGCGTTGGGCTGAACCTCCGGCGTACGTACCACAGCTGCTGATGGACAAACAGACCTGGATTAGAACTTCCCCACCATCCCTTCCGTGTATGGATCCGGCAAGGCTCCTGCAGTCCTTGTGAAATCATCCTCCTCCAAGCCTGCATCCTTCTAAGGAGATGTGCCATGGAGCAGCTCATCACCTCTCAACTGTACCCACAACTTCTGTCCTTCTGTCTCCTCTGTGGAGTGCTCGAGTATGGAACAGCTCCGTGAGTCAGTTGGTGTGAGGCACAGCCAAGACATGTGAAGTCTAAGAGCCTTTCAGGGTTTTTACCCTGAACCAAGTGGAATGTTCTGACAAATGCTGTTGTCTCCAGGGTTTATTACTGGTTGTAGATCAGTAGACCTTTTCAGGATTTGGGAATAAATAGTTTTGAAAAAACAAACCTCGTCATTCCTTGGGCATTTTGATCCTAGGCCAGTGTCAATTAATAGATAAACGTGTATGTTTTGGTAACTAATATTTTTAGTTTCCAAGCAGCAACTTTCTCTTTTGAAGGCTAATTTAGTGAAATTCAGAGGACAGTTTAAGTGAACTGTAGGAAAGACTTTGCTTGGTGTAAATTGATAGTTATGTGAATTTTTAAATAGGATCAAAATACTGAAGGATATTGATGCCTCTGGAGGTTTGATAAATGAGAATAAAGAATTATGATAGTTGGCATATTTTGTATGTCACTAGTATTCCTGTACCTTGTTTCAGTATTTCCTAGAGACATGAGAAGAGATACAGGACCTCCCTTCACACAGTGTTACTGCATGAATTGGTAGCTTCTGTAGTGCATATTTGTAAATGTGGTATGTTGACTCATCCTCATTCTGGCTTTTTTAGAGGAAAATTCTTGCTCACGAATGAGCGCTGTGAAGGACGTGGAAATTGTGTAAATGGGTTGGGTTTAGGCGACACTGTTTCTCTAACTTTTTAAGTGTTTCTTGCCAAAGGTAGAAGTTAAGGTCTTGTCATGGGTTCACTGGTTGAGAGGATAAATAGTTTCTCACAATGAAGGAACGTGTAGGTCAACAAGTGCCCGCTGTTCAATAGGTTCAAAATTATCTAGAAAATCGGTGTATTGTAAGGTGACAGTTTGCTGCTAAAACAGAGTGCTTTTCCAGATTACTGAAAGTAAAAGCTGACAAGTGTAGAAAGATCCCATAATAGTGAAGGCCAGGGTGAATTTCATCTGCTATTGTATTTCCAGTTAAATTTTCTACAGTGTCTGCATGCATTTCTTTACGGTTGTTGACATGGATGAATTTACGCAAAGCTTCCAATCAATGTCATATTACCACACAAGCATTTTATGCATTTGTAAGTGTTTGTGACACCTATGACTGATTTTTTTTTTTGGGGGGGGGGTGGGGGGTGTGTGTGTGTGTGATGCAGAAACATGTCAGCTTATCTGTGTAAAGTTTTTACCCTATGCTGTTTTAAGTGTAGGAACTGAACTAGACTCAAATACTGACTCCTTCCCACAGATGGTGATGTAGTTTGGAAGATGCTTTAAGTAACTTGAGGGGTTTTTTGTTTCAAATACTGGGATGTTTATGGACTTGAGATCTAATATACTGAAACTGTCATGTCCTACTTCTGAGTAGTTCCAGTTGTACAGATGCTCGGTTGTACGAGATGCCTGGTGCCACAAAAGCACATAGGGAGAGAGCAGCTGTCCCCAAAAGCCTCCAATAGAAACTTGGATACTGCAGATACACCTCTGAGCCAACTTCCTAAATAGTGTAAATGCCTACAAGAGTAGGGACAAAGAAGGCAGATGCTGAAGTGAACCAAATGAAAAGTATTCTAGGCTGATCCTAAATATCGCATGCTAATGTTTTGTTTTCCTCCCTGCTTAGTAGCATAAAGGTTTTAAAATGTTCTAGCCAGTATTCTTTCTCCAAAATGTTAGAGAGAGTCTTTCAGATATGCCTGACTAACATTTCCAGTGATTTCCACTTAGGCAGCCTAAAACAAAAAAGACCCGGAGTGGGGGAGTACTTGATTTTTTTTTTTTAATCCCCTTAAAAATAAAACTTTTTTGAGATAGTTTTC